GACGGGTTGCATACTCGCACGGGGCCGTAAGGCGCCATGGCGAGCGACGATAGGCAAGCCCGCCCGCACGCATGAATCCGGTACAGCATAAGCAGCTGCAGCTGGAAAATTCACACCTTTCCTCCCTGAAGTGTACGAATGGGCATTCACTCACCCAGTGTGTGTCATTCACATTTACACACTTGCTTTTTTAGTGTGTAATGAAAGTTACAAAACAAGTTTATTTCTTGGCACAAAAAAATTAGTTAAGTTCTATCTTTCCACCTTACTCTTGTTGACACCGCTCGTCTGCACGACTAATCGTGAGGGGTAGACGTCACGTTGCTGGTAGGTGTGTTCACGACTGTGCAATTAAATATCTGGCTACTCTGTTTTAAAAGAATTCAGCAGGTATAGTAAAAAATAACAAGAATGGAGAAAAGTATCTTATTTTATCTGTACAAGGGGTTTTAAATATTTTTACACATGTAATATCACAAGCAGGTTGTACGAGATGCTAATCGCAGTGAGTTCCAAGTCAAACTGTCGATGAACATCCAATAAATCTTATAAAAATGGTTTCATAAATACAGGCCTCAAGTTTCACCAGACGTCTACCGGGAAACTTTATACCGACATTTTAAATATCAATAAATTATTTGTTGCTCACTGGGAAAAAGTATTAACATAGTTCTTGGCTGCATAATACGTCTTTGGTTCGAAAGGCGACAACTGATATACTTCTGAAAGCACAAATGTGCTGATCGTTTGACTGAGGTTGCGAACACTGTTATTTAACGAATGTGACGTCACATTCGTTTTAATGTGAATCGTGTCACGTTCATTTGAATGTTGTGTCGTATTCGTTTAAACGTGAATCAGCCAAGCCTGGCGCCATTAGAGCATCAATTCACCTGATGTCACGTTTAAATGAATGTGACACAATATTCAAACAAATTTGACACGTTTTACATTGAAACGAGTGTGACGTCACATTCCTTGAATAACAGTGTAGATGACGTAGGTTTTAAACGCTCGGTTTTTTAAAACGATTTTCACCGATTTTTTTCCATCACACTGCCAGTGCGGTCCCCAACGGCCCCACGACAGACTTCCCGTTTTCCGACTCGTTGTCGTCAGTGGACGTGGCCCCTGTCGTGGAGGCCTCAACGGAAACGTGTGCGATGGGGTTGCTGCTGCTTGCCTTTCCATCGCCATGCGTCCTCCCGCTGTCGGCGTCCCCGATAAAACCAGAGTTGTCGACACCTCCATTGGTAGGGACGTCTTTCTCTTGCTTCCTTGGTTTGCTCCCTGTGGAAAAAGCAGGAAGAATACTGTGATGGTAGGGTACCGTGGGGCATTAATCCTAAACCACTTCGAATTTTCTAGTGACACTGGACCACTTTTACGCATGAGGGTGTAACGTGCAAGAAAGCACTGTTATTCAACCACTGTGACGTCACATTCGTCTCATTTAATCAAATGTGAAATACACCCGGTACACATATCACGATCCGGGTGATTCAGAGCACGGGCCGTTGTCGGCGGGTTGCCTACTCTGTCTGCCCGTAATGTGCCATAGCGCCTAGGGTATGCAATCCTGCAACACGGCAGCGCGTGCTCTGAATCACCCGTTTCATCATAACGAATGTGACACAATATTTCAACCAATCTGACACAAAACACGGTCGTCCAAATGTGACGCCGCAGTGACTGGTTGTCAACTACAAGACTCTTTTGTTTTTCCAACCACCTGGTGTATTAGTGTTTTTTTTACAAATAGTGCTTACTCTTCGAGCCACCCGTACGTAGTGCCTTCTCGATCGCCATGATGGGCGACTCCAACGTCAGGCAGAGCACCAACCCAAAGAAAGAGGCAAGGGTAGCGTCTGACAGCATATGTTCCACCTGAAAACAGTTCTTGATTAGTTGTGTACGATACCCCCTATTTAAAACCGCTCACCGCCTCGGCTGTTGCGGACAAACGCTTAGCTCACTCCCCGCCTGGGGACAACCGCTTACCTCGCTTGGCGCTCCGGATAACCGCTTAAGTCGCTTTTTCCCGAAAACGTAATATTGGTATCATTCGAAAGAGGCGGAAATTCTCTTTCGAATGATACCAATATTACGTTTTCGGTGAAAAAGCGACTTAAGCGGTTATCCGGAGCGCCAAGCGAGGTAAGCGGTTGTCCGCAAGCCTCAGCATAACAAAACTTAGCAACGAACTGTTGATAATGTATTATTTTCAGCGTAGTATCTCCACCCACCATCTTAAAGTCGGTGTAGTACTCGGCCGACCGGTTGCTTGACACGTCCACGATCTGGATGGCAGCGTGCGCCAGGTAGATGCCGTACGTCAGGCGGCCCATGATGGTGAACGGCGTCCACGAAAGAAAGGCATTAACAGGGCCTGCGCAAAACCAGGGTAAGAACATGTTCACTGTGGTCGCTCTTGCCGTCAACAGATTGTCTTCTGAATGAGTAATCAACCAACCTCCTCGGCCCAGGATGCAGGCCAACACAACCCAAGTGATACCGACGGACCAGGCAAGCTTATAGAAGCCCAGGTAGAAGGACGACTCCCACACATTGAAGGGGTGGTTCTTTGCGTCGAACAGCGGTTGCGCGCCGAACACCACCGTTAGGCAGATGGCAGTGCTCATCAGCCAGCCTAACGCTACTTCTTTCTAGAAAAGCAAAAGAAATCGGGCGTTCTTTTAAAGCGCTCGTTTACTTGAGTTGGCCGGTGATACGCGGTATGTGTTTTCAGTCTTACACTGCTCAACGTGTATCTGACGTGGCCAGCCTTGATGATGAAGAGGACATAGCCGGCCAGGGTTCCGAACACATACGACGTAAAGCGTGTATGCGTTGGGAAGTACATGTGGGCCATGAAGAAACTCTGACTCGCTTTGCTGTTGACAAAATAGGCAAGTTGTCATCTTTCCAGCGATGGGTTTTGTGATTCAAATTAACACGTTGAGTGCGGCACTGGGACAATCCTATGTTATTGTGACCCGCGGTGTGTGTCGTGTCGCACTCAACGTAATCAAAGGCCAGTCAGGTTTAACTTTACCTCAGCTCGACAGATATGGGCGCCCGGAAGTGCGGCGGGTTGGCGAAGGTGATGGCGAACGGCACGGCGCACGAGGCGATGAGCACGATGCCGATCCAGCCCAGGCCGATGCGGCGCCACTTCCACAAGGGCACCAACAGCAGTGGTGACAGCCAGTGCAGCTGCATGTCCACCATCAGGTACCACGACTGCATCATGCACTGGTCGTTCGCGTTGGCGTAGTTGGCCACGTACAGCATCGCGGTCCACCAGTTGTCACGACAGCTCTGGCTCGCGCTGCCCATCACCTTGGTCCACAGTGGGCCGTTGCCCAGCAGCGCCAGCCAAGTGGCCGTTATGGCCACCATCATGGCGAAGGCTGGCGTTAACCTGTGTACAAGAGAGTACATGTTTATATATTGTAAAGGGTCACACCGGGGCAGGATGATGGTACCCTCAATAGCAGGACCACCATAGAATAAGAACTCGATTAGAGAACCCTACCCATCGTATTTGTAACCAAGGGGTATAAATATATCTCGTAGTTTAACGGTAAGTAGCGATATATGTATTGAGGCTGGGAGCCAACGTTTTGTCATCAACTGGGAGATCGAACAAACGTTATATACTAGGTGGCTGATTAACCCCACGCACTTCTGTAGTTATACTGAACCGAACGCACGAGTGCGGGCGGGTGTGCCTATCGCCCCTGTCCACGGCGCCTTACGGGCCACGCGTGTAGGCAACCCGCCCCCACTCGTGCGTGCGGTACAGCATAACTACAGAAGTGCGCGGGGTTAATCGGCCACCTGGTATATATGAATACAGTATCTTCACTTGATTGGACCGAGCTGCTGGACTTCTCACCTGATGTATCGGTGAACGTAGTACATGATGAAGTTAAAGCTCTTTCTCTGTCCGACGGCGCGCATAAAGGAGTAGCTGTTGACGAGCCCACCAATCAGGAAGAAAGTGTCGACTGAGAGCGGTGCACTCGCGATCATCATGACGGAAATGTCGGTTACGCGCTGTGGATCAGAGCAGTCTGTTAGAAAGCACACTATAACTGTAAATTTTAGAACTCGTGCCAGCCAGTTGTTTTCCGCAATTGGTCGCTGCGAAAAATATGCTCGTAAATTTACAATGCATTTTGTAATTAATGTTTGTAAACTTTGTTGTAAATTTACGACAGACCATTCTTGACCGTCGACGAATTCTACGTCGATACGTGTTGATTCTTAAAAAAAAATTTATAGGAATTTTGCGATACGCTATTACTTTAACGCCTAACATAATGGTTATAGCTATGACTTGTTTAGTGCTCATTAAATTGTACTCTTGCAAATATTCAACTTGGAGTTACATACTTATGTGGCTACACGCAAAAAAGTTTGTTCGCTAAAATAGCGTACTTCAGGTATTTGCGTTTTGCTGTTGTAGCAAAAGGTTTTGCTGCTTCAGCAAACATTTTGCTAAAACAGCGAATACAAAAATGTGTTTGCTGCAACAGCAAAACGCAAGGACCTGAAGTTTGCTATTTTAGCGAACAGGCTTTTTTGCGTGTAGGTGCAGGAGCAGTCGATTTCCGGAGGCCTTTGTGAAAGGGTGCTGAGCTCCCGTCTTTCTGCGACTCAAAAGTGTCAACAAATTTATTTAAGATTTTACAAAACAGCCGGATTGTATTTTTATGGAAACGACTCGTGTAACACTTGAAAGTGCATGCCAGCTGAGCACTTGAGATGCCAGGGGAAAAGTCTTAAAAGAACATACGTCACACGCTGGGCACTTGAGTGGCAGGTGCAAAAATTGTAACGGTCACATTGCCCGACGAGATGGAAATCGCTTGCGTACTAACTCGAATTTCAAAATTCTTGCAAAGAATTTTGAAGCATTGTAAGGAAGTTTGCGTTGCTAACTATTTAGCAATTTTTTTAACTTGTCGCCGGAAAGTAGGCAACCCGAAGTGGCCGTGTAATGACTACCGATCAGATATGAGTGGGGTTAATCAGAATTAGTTGCCGGGTAAAATAGAATTAATGCGTATTGCTGATGATAAACCAGCCAGCTTCCCTGCTGCATAATTGCTGAAAAAGAGTAGCCAAATAAAACATCAGTAACAGGATGAAAGTGCAGATCCTGATGACGCACATTTCAAAAGAAAATTCCGATAAGGATTTGAAAGGCACGAGTACTCCAACGTCCATATGCTTCTTTTGTAATCCGAGCGGTTTGTTTCCGTTATCGGCGAGACACATGGTCCACTCGAGCGAGCTGATTTACGGCCTCTTCGGTGACATACCGTGGAACTTTTGGTTGCCTTCGTACCGGGTGATTCAGAGAGGATGCAGGTGCCAGCGGGTTTGCCTACCCAAGGGGCTATGGCGCCTTACGGGCAGAGTGGGTGGGCAAACCTGCTGGCACCTGCGTCTTCTCTGAATCACCCGGTACAGGGAAACTCTTACGCGCGGTGCCCACCCTTCAGGTGGCGAACACACTTCAAGGAAAAAAAAAATAATTGGTCGACAGGACTAAATATTAGTTAATTTCCAGACACCGATATTTTATCGATCGTTCCGAAACGAACCAATTATTAGTTCTGGTCAATTCCTTTTTTTCCACGTTATAAGTGTTCCACAACTGGTTTAGCCACTTTATAATGTTCAGATTTACTGTTGAACACTTAAAAAAATTCAAATATCCAGTCAAACACCTTAAAGTGTGGAACATAGTGTTACACTCTAAATGTCAAGGGACAATTTTGTCCGTAGATTTGCAACGATTTCGTGCACATCCAGAAAGGATGCAATTTTGTTCCCTTAACTGGACAAATTGTGTGAAGTTTCACACAATTTGTCTAGTTTTATGAACAAAATTGCATCCTTTCTGGATGTGCACGAAATCGTTGCAAATCTACGGACAAAATTGTCCCTTGACATTTAGAGTGTAGGCACTTGCATGTGCACACCAGTTGAACAATTTATTTATCAGTGTAAGCCTCCGCTTCCCTTTAAACCGCTCTTGTAAGGCCATGTCTGGTCGGTATGTTCTCGACTTTTATGCATTTTAACACCAAACAAAATTAATTCCTTAAAATGGTAAATCAAATTGTTTCCTTGCACCGCACCTGGGGGATGACGATGAGGTTTGTGTAGGGTATGTCGAGTGCCCAGCGGTAGCGGTGGCCCAGAATGACCCACATCGCGGAGAAGAAGCGGATGCCGTTGATGCAAGTGAAGTTCGAGTCGCTCGGTGGCGCGACGTGCATGAGGCGCCGCCCGTTGGTGTAGGCAGAAAATGCCAGCAGCACACCAGCTCGCTTGCGAGCCTCCACAGCTGCAACAGGGGAGGTTACTGAAGACGCGCTTTCAACTGCTTAGACTGTCAGACTTGGGCTAATTTCTGTCTTGGCAAATATTTAACACGCAGCACTGTTACTGACTAATTTATTACTTTGTGTGTATATTTTCAGTGTGTGTTTGTTATTAAAATAATCACACCATCGGAATATACATCCAGGTTAACACTCACCTTCCGAACTGAGCGTGACGTCCATGCTGGTCGCCACTAGTACCAACAGTAGAAGTACCACGCAAATCGTACTGCAAAAATAACACGAGAAGCCTTTACAACCTGCAGATAGCCCGTACCAACTGTTCTACAGCTAGTAATTCTATAGAATCTAAAGATACATCTTTCGTTTGTAGTGCGCCGTACATTTTCTGTTTCATTTCCGACGGCATCATCCCCAAAAAATTTGGATTATCCAAACAATACTAATGTGCAACTTGTTGTCAAAGGTAACTGTGATTATTTTGACTTTGACAAGCACACGAGCCACTCCGATTTGAGTAGCCCTCGAAGATAAAACACCGCTTCATCACGTTTTTCAGTCACCCGATACACTATCGTGGTGGGCGCTGCTTGGATTAGCATTTGGTGGAGCAGATCATTCTCTGGTCACTGAGTCATGCGAGCAGCCAAACAAACTTTGACTATTATCGGGCTTGTTATTGCACGCAAAATACAATCATTCCAGAGGATATGTAGAATCCAGCTTTCTGGTTGTAAATTGGCAATCTACTGTCCGTTTTTGCGACATTATGAGTCGTTTTCGCGAACCTTGCTCCATCAGAGCGTCCATCGAGCTGGCGCTACTCACATGACGGTGTAGTCGCCCGTGTCGGGCTCGCGCCACAGGCCCGCCACGCTCGTGTAGTTGGCGGGGAGCGAGACCTGCACGCGGTAGCCCTTCTTCTCCAGCAGCGGGTTGGCGAGGTTCAGGACGTGGTTAAAGACGGTCTCGAGCAGCGGAGCCTGGCACGTGCTGGGCACGCACACTGCGAGGTTCACGCTGCCCAGTGCGCTGTACTCCTCCCCATTGGAATCCTGCATTCGTCATAATTATAATTTTGCGAATAATACACAATAAGAGTTAACTAACAATTCTTCTGCCGCTCACTTACCCTGACCTGATGGCTGGACGCCGTCCTGGCTAGGGTCTGCTGCAGGCTAGCACTAAGCTTGCTGCTGCTGTTGACGGCCTTCAGCAGCTGCAACGCCGGCAGCGCGTACCTGCCGGTGAATTCCTCCGGGGCGCCCTGGCCGACCGCCGTGGCGTTGTGGGAGATGGGCTCTGAAGTCACGCACTCGTCGTAGTTGCCGAGGTCAGCCAGGTTGCCGTAGAGGAGGCCCGTCACGAACTTGGAGCTCGAGTCCACCACTGAAACGCAAAAGGGGATGTGCTTGTAGTGCAAGATTGGGTCTTACTTGCATGGGTGGGTGATCCGCTCCGTGTTTTTTCAGCGTATACTGTACCGAATTCATGCGTGCGGGCGGGCTTGCCGATAGTCGCTCGCCATGGCGCCTTGCCGCCCCGTGCGAGTATGCAACACGTCCGCACGCATGAATGCGGTAATAAGCATAGAAAAAAAACACGGCGCGGATCACCCACCCTGTATACTATTCAAAATAATCGCTTCCTTTGCAATAGTAAATTTGAATAAGAATGTTATGCATTTGTACTTCATTCAATTCCCAGTACTATACCACAGACTTATGCGATGCGCCTTCCCTAGTGAAAACAAGACGACTAGTGCTTGGGGGCTGATCCGCTTAACGCTCTCTCTCTCTCTCTCTCTCTCTCTCTCTCTCTCTCTCTCTCTCTCTCTCTCTGTCTCTCGTTCCTCAACCCCCCCCTCTCCTCTCCAAAACAAACACCTCTCTATTTCTCCCTCCTCTCGCACCTCACACTTGCACCTGCTAACGAGGTTTAGATCAGAGAAGATGCGAACAGCCGCCAGTTTGGCATGGAGACGGAGTAATCCGGTGAGCGGATTTTCTCGCATGAACGGACGTCTCCGGCGACGGGACAGTGAAAGAACAATGATGAATAACAAGCGAAAACGCTGAAAGAGATTCGAGGCGCCGCATTCTGTCCGGATTTGGTTGTCTTTAAGATTTTTGTGGCCTGTTTGGTTCATTAACGATATGGTCCCTTGGTTTCTAAAAGATGAAATATCAAATGAAATAAGAAATGCCGCAATTTGTCAGAAATGCCTGGCTGACCCACCGTCGGCTACGCCTGAAAACGATTCGCACCCAAACACATACAGCGGATTGGCAGCCTCACGCTTACTGTGATCGATGCCCTCTGGCGGGCGCAATGCCAAAAACATTTCCTCTTTTCCAGAAACGTGTAACGAGCAGCCGATTGAAACAACAGCGGTGGCGGGGGGATTCCACTCTACTTCCGGCTCCGCTGCCCGAGGGGGGACCAACTCGAAAAAGTCGTGTGCACAGAAATACGAAAAATACGAACAAAAAATACACAAAAAAACTCTACATAGAAAGACACAGAAAAACATCCAAATACACGCTAAAATTGCAAATAAATACACGCGAAGCTTACACAAAAATACACGAGTTGGCCATCACCTGCCGTTACCCCGGTTGGGCCTTGCAGACGCATTCCACTACGCGGTGCGGGCGCCACTGCGAGCACACCGCGCACCCCGTGCGGCACGCGCGCGGCCCCTCCCCCCACTTTCACTCAAGCACTGCACTTGTGCTGTGCACCTCCGTCACTCACTCTGCAGCGCCCACGTCTCGGTGTAGTACAGGCCCTCCGCCCAGCGGGCCAGCGCCAGGTCGCAGTCGGCGGCGGAGGCCAGCACCTCGGGTCTTTTCTCGAGGCGCAGGGCCTCGCCGACGTGCTCGCGGAGGCTGGCAGGGTGCTTGAGGGTCGCCAGCGCGCGCTGCAGCGCGCTGTCAAGAAGCGCGTCCACGGCCACGTTCACGGCCGCGTTGGTGGCGGCGGAGGCGGCGTCATGGCTGGCGCCAGCCTCGTCGGTGGCGTTGACGGCGACCCCGGCGTAGCAGCCGACCGTCAGCAGCAACAGCGTCAGCACCGTCCCCGCGGCGTCGGACTTGCACATCGCTGTGCTGCAGGCGGGGCTCGGGCTCCGACTGACCGGCGGGCTGGGCGGGCGGGAGCTGGACGGTGGCGGGGTGGGGCGGGCCCCGGGGCTCACACCGGCCCGGCCCGGCCCAGCGAGCGCTACCCGGCCCGTATCTCCCTAATCTCGCAGATCCCTATCACTCCTCGAGAACGACACCTACCTCACCACTCTCCTCCTCCCCCCGTGGGCAGGTGGGTGGGCGGGGGCGGGGCACGGCCCGCATAGCCAGTAGTGTCCCTCCCCCTGACCACCACCACCCCTTCACTTGCCCTAGGCCCACCTCACTCTCACCAGAGGCGCGTGTGCGATACGTAGCAGGCCTCGCGGAGTGGCTTTGTATTTCGATGAAATGCCGCCCTCATATACTACTCACCCACCCTGACTGAATCTAGATTTGTGATTGATTAACCCCACACCCAAAAAACTGTGTTCTCATTTCAAGAACATCCCCAAATTGTAGGGATTAAAAGAAGAACATTTGTCTTGATTTCTTTCTTACAGCCACATATATCGCTTTTTTTGGACATGCACATTTTATCGCAAGAGAACATGCAATGAAAAGGATAAGGGAGACTTATCACAATAATGATGTCCTTATAATGTCATAACTTGATCGCAGTTTAGAGTATAACTCGAGCTGTTATATCCCCAAAGCTTGCGATACATTGCGATACATAGGATAGGCCCCAAGAAGGTCTCTAGTTGGAAAAGAAGGAGGGATCATTCGTGAACCTTGTCCCAGGCAGGCATCCCGGGGTGTGTTAGTTTCCTCCTTCCCAGCTTTTACTTTGGCTCACTGTTACGCCATATGCGTGTCGTGACTTAGCACCTCCCTCTGATAGCGATCATTCCATCCGAAAGGGTTCCATTCCTTTATGGCGGTGACAGTACGTCTAATTTTTTCTTTTGTGTGATTTTGTTCAGCAGCCCTCCCCTTACCCGGAGAGCGGTTGACTCGCCCAGTACAATAATGTTGAACAGAACCTTCGCGTTGTCACCAGATGTCACTGTGTGCGCCGAGCTAGAGAAGCGTGCCCAAGTCTTGTAGAATCGCAGCTTAACTTGACGCCGTCTAGCCACACTGTGAAAAAAGCAGGTCGGTTTACAGGAAAATTTTCTTTGACGCAAGTTGTAAAATTACAATTTTAAATCGTAAAAATACATGCAGTACGTATCGACTTAAAATCCATTGGCGAGTAAAAAATCTGCTCTCGTAAATTGACAACTTAAATTATAATTCAAGTTTACAATATTTTTGTAAATTTACGACGATATTTTTCAGGACTGCTGCTTGTTCAGCGAACTGGAGCCACCCATAACTTGGGTCACACACACACACAGTCAGGCCTAGGTCGGTCTATCCCCTGCGTTCCAGCTAGTGCTGGTCCGGCCGGGAATGCACAAGCCCGCCGCACCGTATTCACTGGTCGCCGTCTGCACTCTGTTTTAGGCGGTTTTAGGGCAAGGGAAGACCAGCTCCGCCTCGAGTTGGGGGAGCTCAATCGGGCTTCGTTCCCACGGCCTGACAGGGAACAAATTCATATTTGTTTTATGATGCAATAAAATGCTTTTGAATACTGAACTAGGATGAGTGAACAGGCCAGTTCGAATTTAAACGAACTCGAACAAATTTAGTCTACAAAATCATCGAACGAACACGAACGGATGTAATGTTCAAATTCGATCCGAACATACGAACAATTATTACAACAATGGTCCTCTTCAAGTCTCTTCCAATTGACGCAGCCCTCCCTTGTCCTATCGCCAGATGTTCCTCTTTACGTCTCTTCTGCTGACGCACACACGCCTACTTTCACTATATGATCCTCTTCACGTTTCCTTCCACTGACGTACCCACCACCACCACCACCATCACTAGATGCCCACAGCTTAGAGGTCTTTTGGGGCCTGAGCATATGACCATGACCATCTTCACATCTCTACCACTGCTTCCACCGGCCCACCACCACCACAGAGGCTTCTCAAGGAAAACGTTACACTCACGATGACGTATTTGTGACGGATAGATGTGACTTACGAGGTCATGATTTTTCACATCAGAGGAGTTTTCAAAAAAATCACATCAACCTCATTGTGATATTCGTGACGATATCGCGAGTGAAACGTTTTCCTTAGTTCGAATTCTAATATAATCGAAAGAGGGTCGGTTCGATTCTGAAACTGAGCCACTTTGAAGTCGAAAAAGTTGGGTACTTCTACCTTAATCACGGCCAGAAATGACGATATCGTTTCGATATCGCATATCGACTTGTGTCGCTTTTCGTGTCGCTTGCTACGCAAAAGTGGGGCACAATAACAGCATGTGATATCAAAACTATATCGTTGCGATTCGGTGCTATTTCGGTGCTACCCCGTTTCTGGTGTGTTGATGTTTAAAGTCAAAGGGAATATCAGCTGCTAAAAAGTGCGCATGGGCTGCTCGCGCTATAACCTGTTTGTTTCGGGGGGTAAAGATTGGATTTGATTCGATTCGAGGAAAAAATTATAGATTCGATTCGACTTTTAAAATGACTGATTTGCACATATCTCCCCCTTCCCCGCCCTTTTCACGCCATATCACGCCATATGCCTGGCGATGATCTATCGTCGCATGACTTTTGCCACCTGGTGAGTTAGAAGGGGGCCCAACAACCAGCTGCAGCACCTACCAGGTGCAGTCCAATGGTCACGCGAGGGACTATGATTCTGATATCAGAATGATATCAATCTGATACTGCCTAAGTAACCTAATTAATGTACCTATGAGTATCGAATTAAGGAACAAATTTATATCAGTAACTCATCGATATCGTACCCACTTTTCTATCCGAACTGACACGGAAGTCGATACCAAACCGACGTCTTTTCAGCGACATCAGAACGACGTCGGTCTGACTCGCGATTGCTCACTCGGTTAGTGCTAGGTGTGGATGCTGCCGTTGCTTTACGAGCTAGCGCGCATTGTTTAGCGCCTGTCACGCAGCTCCTTATTAATCGGGCAACTTGTCAATTTTGAAAAACGAAGAATACAGGAGAGTCGGGGCTACAACACCCATACTCCAGGAGTGTGCTCCATCAGATGTGACGCACAATCTTTACTCCTTTTATGTGGAGGAAGTATGGGCCTTCAGCGCCGGCTATTTTGGCACGTTGATTTTATGGCTCGTTGGCGTATCGAGCTGGAAGTGTCGAGTATGACGCACTTGCGCCGAGGCTTTTGCGGGTTCATTAGTCCACTTTTGCGTGATTCGCTGACGACACGGAATGTGGACTGGCGAGGGACATTGAACGGTAGAAAGGGATAGAGATAACCTCGAGGGGATTACCGTTATCCGACAGATTTTGAGCCCCACGATATCCCGTTGGCGGGTTCGTGCCCACTGTTACGAAGGCTGTCAGACGTCACGATGAGCTCCGAGGTGGGGGTGGTAGCTGCTCTCTGCGCACTCCTGGCTGGTACGTCTGGCTCTGCCACCCGCATATTTGCATCCTTTACAGAGGACCAGGGCGGAGGGGGTAGGGGGATCACCAAGAACTCTGCTCGCTTATTCGTGTTCTCTCTGTCTGTCAAAGTCTTCTGCCCCGAGGCCGACGCCATCACAGGGGGCTCCCCGGTGCCTATCGAGAGCTTCCCCTATCAGGTAGCTTGAGCGCGTGCGCTATTTCCGGTTTCTACTTCCGCTTGCTGTCACCTTCTCCCTGTGCAGGTCGCTATCGACCAGTTCCGCAACCAGTCTTGTGGTGGCGCCCTGATCGGGAAGAAGACGGTCATCACCACGGCGAGCTGCTTCCACAGGTAAAGTGTGTGGATGTCGCACATGTCTTCCTGTGTGAATGTCGCGCACTTGTCGGTGCGTGTGTGAGTATCACACACTTGTAGGTAGGTGAATGTCGCACACTCTTAGGAGTGTGAATGCCCATTCGTACGATAACGGGCTTAAAAGTGTGAATTTTTCTTCGAAAATTCGCACAAGTGTGCCTCCATGTGTTCATACACCTACATGAGTGTGACATTCGCACACTTGTAGGTGTAGGGCTGGCGGCTGGCCGAGCAGGCGCTCTGAGTCTCAAACCCTTTTACACGGTGGAGGGAGAGACATTTACGTGTGTACGTGTGACGACATCTCTCCCTCCACCGTGCCCTCTTCCTCTCAGGAGGGAGATTGATGTCTCGGACGTCACGGTACGCCTGGGGTCTGCCACTCGCACCGGCGGCCTCAGCCTTGGCGTCGATGACTTCCTCCAGCACCCGGACGTGGACGCGGTCCTCCTGTACCTGGACCAGCGGGTGACGCCCCGCAAGGAGATCAAGTTCGTCCCGGTGCCCACCGTGCCCACCGCCATCAGGCAAGGAGAGCTGGTTACGATCTCGGGCTACGGTGACGTCAGCGTGAGTACCTGTGGCGGCATAACTGATCGGTAAACCTTTCCAACCCAGGTAAATGGGGTTGTATATGGCTATATATGATTTGTATATGATCATATATAGCGATATATGCTTTATATATGACGACATATATGCCCACATATATGGTTGTATATGGTCATATATGATCATATATGCTTGTATATGGGCTTATATATTACCATATATGGGGCCATATATCACCATATATGTTTCGATATACAGCCATATATGGTCATATACAAGCATATATACTAATATAGTG